AGATTTTGATCAATTTTTGTAGTAAAAAGAAAAATGTCACATCTTTTTCTAACACACTTTTTATACTTCAAACTTCATGTGTTGTTCAATGTAAATATACCATTAGATGCAGCGCGTTTTGAGCTTTCTATCTATATATAAGAAATTAATAAATTAAAAAAGTCTAGTAATAAAATCTAAAAGATACAAAGAAGGAAAAATCATTTGAAGCACACGGTATAATAGTACCTGTCACCTGAAGATATTCCGCTTGTTCATCTTTAGTCAAACGTTCACCGACATGTTTTGATTTTGGTAGTAGAATCATTGAAATATCTACAGATTTTTAAACATGAAAAAATCTAAATTTGTACTTTTATTTTAATCTTACATCGATTTCTTTCAAGAGAATTTATTTGCTCTAAATCAATTCGGGTAGATATTCCTCCATGTACTATCATAATATTAGATTTTCCTGTATCAACACATGAATATATTGGTAACCAACTAAATACATCTTTAAATAAATCAATTAATTGTTTTTTACAGTTCTAAATATATCTTTATTAGATTTTAACGTATTTTTCTATAAATTATAAACGAACTGGATATTTGTTATTAATTTCCTCTTGAAAACCATATCGAGCTGTTATCATAATATCTTCATGATTACCTTTTTTTTGTTTTGATTTTTTAAACAAATATATGTTCAATGAAAAAATTTTTACCTCGATTAAGAAATACTGAACTTGGATAGAGAATAATAGCAGTTAGAAGTAAAAGCATAATTTCAATTGATTTTGGACCTCGATCAACAAAATCTCCATTGAATATATACGGATTATCAACTGCAGGTAGTCCATTCTAGAAATACATAATTCAAATTCGTATGTACTGTTAGGACCCGAGAGGTCACCAGTTATTGCAAATAAAATAAAGAAATACATAATTCAAATAGAAACAAAGAAAAAAACAAACAAATATTTTCTTATAAAAATATTAATTTACCAATTTAAATATATGTAATAAATCAGCTAATTGTCCATGAAGATCACCAATAATATATATATGATGTAAATTAGATAAATTAATATGATTAACATTTGGTAATGTTTTAAGAATAGAACGTGCTTGATGAATAATTAAATAGACATATTTTTCATGTAAAATCTATTAATAAATTACAGATTCGATGGTCTGAGGTGCTATTCGACCTATAATTCCTATGTTTTATGAAAAATATTGGGAAAGGTTCACAAAATTTGGCTGTATCCTGAGGGGAAGTACAGGAGTCTTCGCGCCGCTATTCCTCCCACCGTCTCACGTCCCCCCGATCATTACTTTTTGCGAAAATATCAACAGAAAGAATGGGTGTTTCTTGGAGGTAAAACATAAATATTTGAGGTACGGCTCGGCATACAAAATCT